ATACATGGGTGCACATGCACACTAACTCCACCCACACACAACTTGTTTACAAGAAATGTCCTGGAGTCTGACTAAATTATCCTATTTTCCCCACAATAATATGGGTGTAAAAGAAGACCAGGTACCAGAACCGGTGAAATAGGAATAGACAATACAATCTCTATGTCCAAATGACATTTGAACTGACACCTGTAAATCTCTAATTCGTCACCACAAAGGGTCAGTTGAGAGTGATTCCTAGAGTGATTTTTCAGTACTTTGACATTAAGGTATAACTGATTTCAGGGACAACCAAAATTACTTTATCCATCAACGTATTTCTATCCCTGAAATATTTTTGTAATCATGATATTGAAAGAGCAGGACTCAACAGGATACAAGCTGTTAACTTCCACAAGGGGGAAGGACAAAACAAGCAAGCTCAATGATTCCCCCATGGAAGGAATACTGTATAGTAAAGCAACAGCTAGATGTCAAGCTCTTTTACCTACCCATAATCCTGCCAACTGAGCCAATTGTTGAGCTAGGGCTGGATCTGGAGTTCACAGACCCCTCAAGCCCGTTCCAGACTAGGTCATAAACCCTTCACATGTCAGGCTGGGTCACCAGACCCCTCACACACAGGTTTGTGAGCTAGGTAACCTACCAAAAGGTTCTTGGAGCCTGTAAGTTGGAGAGCATGACCCCGCATGGCAGATGCCCAAGACAGATGCCAGCCAAGTCACATCACTGTGCATACACATTAACTCCACCCACACACACATACAATTTGCTTACAAAGAATGTGCTGTACCACCCCCAACCATACCAAAGGCGAGGGGGCCTGATTAAATTATTCTATTTTCCCAGCACTAGATAATTATTACTAAACTGGATTCAAAATCATTAGACACCTGACATTAGTCAAGTGAATAATCATTAGTCAGCTGACCAAGTAACTTTCCCAGAAGAGGCTTTAATCTCATTACAATTTATCAGAAAATTGCTTAAGCATGTTATCAGGA